CCCTTTGTGGAGATGCACTCGGAGCACCCCGAGCTCATCTACATCGTGGATGACAAGAAGACCGTGGTTGTCCCCTGCCGAGTGACCTCGCCAGACATCAGGCCCARGCTCACCCAGGTGAGAGACGGCTCCAGAGGAGCTGGGCTGCCAACACAGTGGGTAAAAACACAAATTAGGATGTGTGAAGCTGCGTAAATTCGATAAAAAATAGCAAAGACACTGAAAATCCAGATTGTATCCAGTAAATCAGATAAAGGGTCCTGCTCCTGCACTGGGTCACTATTGAGCTGGGTACAAAGGTTTTTGGGGGATTAGGCTGAATTTATCATGTGTTTTTCTCACCTCGTGGCTTGATGTTCCTCCTAAATTGGCAAAGGTAGATGACAAAGCACTATTTTCCTTCAAATTTCTTTCTATAGCACCTGGCTCGCCCTGAAAGCTTCTCCCTTTTATACCTTGGATCTCCTCAGAACCGTTGCCCGTTTTTGCTTCATTTCATCAACTCAAACCGAGTTCCAGCCTTGGGAATAGATGGCTCCTGCATTCATCCAGCATGGTCTGTAGAGGCCAAGGCTGTTTGGGATAATAAAAATGGAAATTTAAGGTCAGGGACCTGAGCACTTGATGCAGTCACTCATTTAAAGGGTTTCAGAGAGTCTCTCCAGGCATGGAGTGAGGAACAGGACAGAGGCCCCCTGGCCCCAATCCTGCATTTTATGTCAGAAATTCTGTGGCTTTCCATTTCCCTGCCAGGCTGAAGGTTTAGAAAATCCCAACCGGAACGGGAGCTCATCCCGTGTCCCTTTTCCAGCCGGGTCTGGAGGGGCTGTGAGGGGTGAGGCTGCTCTGGACACGGCAGAGATGGTCTGAGCACCTCTGCTCCCCATGGCAGCTCCATGTCTCAGCTGTCCCCTTCTCCTGGGGGGCAGCTCATGGAATCACAGGGGCCTGGGACATCACCCAACTCCTGCAGGGACCCAGGGCATGTTCCCAGGAGAGGGACAGAGGCACAGAATGGGCCTCAGCGCTCTGGAGATCTCTGTTTTAAAACCTTGTCAGCGGGGATTGAAAGGCGAACAAGGCTTCTCTCCAGTTATGGCTTTGGGCTGGATATTTGTGATCACCTTGGCTATAAAAATGAACCATCCCCATCTGATTTTAGCCTGCTTCCACCAAATTCACGGCTGGAGCGGTGCTGCTGACCCTGGCACAATCACCTGAGCCTCGGCRTGGCCTTGGAATTCCCATTATCCCCTGATTTATGCGCAGCCCTGCTCTTGCTGCTCGCCAGCTCAACTCTCCCGGCCGTTCATCCAAACACAAACCACAGCCTTGTTGCTGGAACGGGATCTCTGAAACCTCTCACTCAAAAAGTCACCCCCAAAAGATTTCYGCTTCGAGGTGGAGCAGCGGGAGCGCAGGGCAGGGAGGCAGAGGGGGAGCACGGATCCCAAAGGAGGGATCGGGGGG